CTATCCCAGGGCCCTGGGATCATGACCGGAGCCGAAGGCAGACACGTAATGACTGAGCCACCCAGGCCCCCCCAAATTCCCCTTGGTAGTCAGGATCAATCACCCCAGCCAACACTGTAACTCCCTTCTTTGCCTTTTGATTCAGAGGCCTGAGGAACCGAAAGTGGCCAGGCAGCAGTCTTTATTTCCAGTTCAGTGGAATCATTGTTGTGTCTCCTAGTGGAAACATTCTTCCCTCTGGAACTAAGATCTTTAGGCTAGCAGAGAGTAAGGGTGTGGGAACAGGAACCAAAGTTTTGTTAATGGGTCCCTAAGTATAACTCCCATTTCCACCCCTTGATTCCTGGACTCATGAGTGCTGACTAGGAGAGAAATAGCTCCATATATTGGACCCTGATTCAGAGCATACACAGCTTGCTAGAGAATCTCGTCCTAGCCCTACATGATATTGCCACCTAGCTGGCTTTGTAATTGAATCTTCAAAAGGCTATTCCACAATTTTATCAAACCAGGGGCTTCAGGATAGTGGGGAACATGGTAAGATCAGTAAGTTTTATGAACAGCGGCCCACTGCCATATTTTTTTGCAGTGAAGTGAGTTTCTTCATCATAAGCAATGCTATATGGAATACCCCAATGATGGATAAAGCATTCTGTAAGTACGGGAGTTTTGGCAGAAGCATTGTGCAGGGAAGGCCAATCTATATCCAGAGTATTTATTCTAGTAAGGACAAAATGCTGTCCAGATGGTTCTGCACAATAAGCAGACATTCACCCCAGGAGTGGTACCATATTGGGGCTCACTGTTGGTCTCTGCTGCTGGGTAGTGGTACCATATTGGGTACTCAATGGTGTCTGTAGCCAGATCAGCTCACTGAGATGCTGAGCCCTTGCATAACCTCTGTCCCTGCCACCATAACCACTTTGTTCATTAGCCCAATGGGCAATGACAAGATGGCTTGGGAAGGAAGCCAGCTAGTATCCATAGAATGGATCATCCTATCTACTTGATTATTAAAATCCTCTTCTGCTGAGGTCATCCTTTGGTGAGCACTCACATGCGACACAAATATCTTCACATTTTTTGCCTATTCCTAGAGGTCTATCCACATACCTCTTCTTCAAATTTCTTTGATGCCAATTTTCTGATCATGCGCCTTCCAAGTCCTTGACCATCCAACTAAACCATCGGCTACAGCTTATGTGCAGATATATGATCAATGTCTGGCCGTTTCTTCTTCCAAGTGAAGTGTGCAACTAGGTGAATTGTTTGAAGTTCTGTTCACTGGGAGGATTTCCTTTCATGACTGTCCTTCAGGCCTGCCCCAAAGAGGGGCCATGGTGCTTCAACTGTCCCCTTTCAGGGGGTGCCTGCATATTGTGTGGAGCCAGCTGTAAAATCAGGCCCAAGTCTTTTACTCTGTCAGCTGACTGTAGGGAGCTCCCATGAGGCCAGTGGTGCAAGCTGGGAGAGAGAAGGCACTGCTTAAAGACTTAAACATGAGACTGGAAACAGTAAATCTCCTAGTAGAAAACAGGGAAAAGCTTCCTGCCGCTGATGTTGGCACTGATTTCATAGATATGACATCAAAAGCACAGGCAACAAAACCCAAAAATAAACCAGTGGGGCTACATCAAACTGAAAAGCTTTTTCACAGCAAAGGAAACAAATCAACAGAGTAAAAAGGCAACCTACAAAATGGGAGAAAATATTTGCAAACTATAGATATGATAAGGAGCTAATTTCCAAACAAAATAAGGAACGCATACAACTCCCAACCAAAAAATTAACAACCTGATTAAAAAAATGAGCCTAGGACTTGAAAAGACAATTCCCCAAGGAAAATATACAAATGGTCAATAGGTGTATGAAAAAAGGTCTTTTGTCATTAATCATCAGGGAAATGTAAGTCAAAAGCACAATGAGATATCACCTCATACCTGTCAGGGTGGCTATTATTAAAAGAAGACAAAGGCCAACGCATGTTGGTGAGGATGTGGAGAAACTGGAACACTTGCGTGCTGCTGGTGCGAACGCAGACTGGTGCAGCCGCTATGGAAAACAGTATGGAGACTTCACACATATGATCCAGCAATCCCACTTCTGGGTGTATGTTTAGAAGAACTGAAGCCAGGATCTCAAAGAGATATTAGCACTTCCATGGTTATGGGTATTCCGTGGGCAGCCCTAGTCACAATAACTAAGATGTGGAAACAACCTCAGTGTGTATCCACAAATGAATGGATAAAGGAAATGTGGTGTGTACCTACGATGGAATAGTAGTCAGCCTTAAAAAAAGAAGGAAATTCTGCAATACACAGCAATATGGATGAACCTTGAGGACACTTTGCTAAGTAAAATAAGCCAGACACAAAAAGATAAGTATTGCGTGATTCCACTTATAGGAGGTACCTAAGGTAGTAAAATTCATAAAAATCAAAGACCAGAATGGTGGATACAGGGGCCAGAGGGGAGTCAGTAGTGCTTCTAAATCTAATCCGATGAGACAACCAATTCCAGAAACCCCAGAACTAGTTCAGAAAATTCATTCTTAAAGTTCTGTTCTGTTTAGAACTACTTTCAGTACCAAAATCTTTATTCATCAAGGTCTCCTAGAGCGACAGAACAAATAGTGTATATATATATATACACACACACACGTGTATATATATATATATACACACACGTGTATATATATATATATATTTAAAGATTTTATTTATCTGACAGAGAGAGAGAGAGAGGGCACAAGCAGGCAGAGCGGCAGGCAGAAGGAGAGGGAGAAGCAGGCTCTGTTGCAGGGAGCCCGATGTGGGACTCGATCCCAGGACCCTAGGATCATGACCTGAGCCGAAGGCAGACGGTTAACCGACTGAGCCACCCAGGCACCCTGTGAACAAATAGGATATATATAGAGATCTAGGTAAGAGATGTATTATAAGAATTGGCTCACACAGTTATGGAAGCAGACAAGTTGCACAATGTGCTGTCTGGAGGCTGGAATCCAGGGCAGTCGGTGGTATTCTTGTGAGGTCCAAGTCTGAAGGTCTGAAAATTGGGAGACTGATGATGTAAGTCCTGGTCTAGTTGCTAGCAGGCTGGGCCCGAGGACCCAGAAGGAGTCCCGCAGGACCAGCCAAGAGAGTCCCTGGCTGTGCACAGGATAGAAATCAAAGTTGAGCCAGCGGGAGGGGAAAGCAGAGTTTATTGAAAGTAGAGAGAAAGTACAAACAGAGCTTCTGGGAGACTCAGAAAGGAAAGGAGGAAATCTCGTCTTTGGTCAGGGTCTGGAGGTTTTTACTGAGGCTCGTGGTCTGGTGTACGTGTCCTCTCAGGCATCCAGGGACCAGTTAGTACAGAGACGAGAGCCCAGGTGTTGTTCTTGGGGGCAGGGGCCTTTGAGATATTTGCCTAGCGCTGGTGGTCTGGAGTATGCATACGAGAGCTTCATCTGGTCATTCTCACCTGGTTCTTCCTTAGGTACTATCTATTCTAAAGAAATCATTAACTCTGTGTTCCTTACAAGGAGGACATATTGTTTGCATTCTGAGGCATGTATAAAGTGGGGGTGCAGGCCCTAGCAAGAAGAGAAGCAGGAAAATGAGCAAAAAGCAGGTTTTTATGGAGTTTTTCAGTTTCCCTATTTCAGTCTGAGTCCAAAAGCCTGAGAACCAGGAATTCTGATGTCCAAGGGTAGGAGAAGGTGGATGTCTCAGCCCCAGCAGAGAGAGCAAATTTGCCCTTCCTCCACCTTTTGCTCGAGTCGGGCCCTCAGTGGATTGGAGGATGCCCACCCACAGGTGAGGGCAATCTTCTTTACTCAGTCTACCCATTCAATTGCCAATCTCACAGACACATCCAGAAATAATGTTTACCAGCTATCTGGGCTTAGCCCAGTCTTGTTGACACATAAAATTAAACAAAACATTATGGACTTGTATATTTATTTTATACCTTGGGATATACCATGCTATTTATTTTGTTGCTCAAATTGTTTCAGCCTTGCCCACTGGGAGCTTTTTCGGATTGATTCCTGTGTGCCTTAGACATGCCCCCAACCTTTTGTATTTTGAGTGCTTCTTTACTTTCTGATTCCACAAGATGCTTTAGGCATATTTTTAACTTTCCCTGTCCTGGTCTTAAATCAGCTTTTTTCCTGGTCCCTTTTACTGGAGAATGTATTTAGAAAATAAGATCTGGGCACTGGATGTGCATGTTGCTATTGGGATGTTGATGCAGGTTGGCCAGGTTCGAGAACGCACAGGATGTCCCGCAGGACCAGCCAGGAGGGTCCTTGGCTTTGCACAGGATAGAAATCAAATGTGAGCCAAGAGGAAAGGAGAGCAGTTTATTGAAGACATAGAGAGAGCAGATACAGACAAAACCTCTGGGGGAGTCGGAAAGGAAAGGAGAGTGAGTTTCATCTTTGCTTGGAGTCTGGGGTTTTTATTGGGGATGGTGGTCTGGTGCAGTGTCTTCTCAGGCATCTGGGAACAAAGATGAGTGTTTAGGTGTCCTCCATAAGTTACTTATGCCCTGAAGCCAGGGGTCTTGATGAGTTAGTGGTCTTGGAAAATGTTCATGATGACCCCACCTGGTCACTCCTTAGATGCTATATACTGTGCTGGAAGTCTCCAAAGAAATCATGAATTCCTTGGCCTTTATAAGGAGGCCATATATTATCTGTTCTATAAGGTGTGTGTAAGGTGGGGGTGTAGCTCCTAGCAAGAGAAGAAGCAGAAAAAGGAGCAAAAAAGTATTTTTTCATGGGGTCCCTTTAGTTTCCCTGTCTCAATGTCATTGCTTGTGACATAACAGAGCTATGTATATATACTAACAAATAATACACACACACACATATGGAAACATCTGTAATTATTTCTGTATTTATACATCTGTATATATATTAAGCTAAATGTAATGAATACCCTTCATATATACTTATAGTCTTTTTGAGCCCATAGGCCAGATACAGTAACTTGCTTTTCTTCTCTTTGCAGATTTCAGATAGTCCTCTATTTTATATGTGCCTTCCAGAACATCTCTTGTGGTATCCACTACTTGGCATCTGTGTTCATGACAGTGTCCCCCTACCATACCTGCCGGCCTCCGGGCAACGTGAGTCAGGTTCTTTTCCACAATGTCTCTAGTTGGAGGTTGGAGGACATCTGGATCCTGTTTTTCACAGGCCATGAAGATCAGATTATAGTGCAGCTACAGAACGGTGAGGTCTGGGAGCTCACAAGTTGTCACCGATTCCGGAGGGATGAAAAGTCTGGCTTGAACTCTGCTTATAATGGCCGGAAGAGCAGCTTTCCTTGTTTGGATGGCTACATCTATGACAAGAGCAAGTGGGACAGCACCGTGGTGACTCAGTGGGATCTGGTGTGTAACCGAGAATGGTTTGCAAAGATGGTCCAGCCCGTATTTATGTTGGGAGTCCTGCTGGGGGCAATGATTTTTGGCTACCTTTCTGACAGGTAAAATGAAGTATTTAGGTTTGTTGCATCAGTGTAGGGTTCATTTTCCTATCTGATTTTCTTAGAGGTCAGGAAATTATGTTCAAAACTTTAGTCATGTTCATACCTCCTATTAAATACCTACCTCTTTGCTGATTGTGTTTAGGGATATACAAAAACCATAGTGGGTAGAGCATGGGTTCTGAAGACAGCCTACCTGGTTCAGATCCTGGTTTCTGCACTTACTAGTCATGAGCCCTGAGAAAATGGCATAACCTGTGTTTCAGAAACTAGTTTATAAACTGGTGATGAAAATAATAGCACTCACTTCAAAGGGTTATTGCAAAATTAATGCAGAAAAAGTACCTTGGACATATAACCACTCAATAAATACTGGTTATTATTTGAATATATATATATTTAAATAAACTTGCTTTTTAATAGATGTAACCTGGTTCTAAGCAGTAATATCTATGAAATTGTGGATTTGATATACTAGCCATATTTTCTTAAAAAACACACATTAAAATGGATACATAGCACTTAAATAAAGCAAAGTTCATCTCTGTGTGGACATGGACTGCGCTTTAAGTACCTGTGCTAACCCACAGAGATGAATTTATTTGGTCCCCATAGTTGTGAATTTTACAGGCATGTGCTGGGCCCTGGAAACCTGAAGGCAACAGCTTAGGTCAAAATCCCTGCCCTTGGGGTATGCTCGTCTAATGGGGCTAACAAATGTCCAAAATAAAAATAATGGCTTTATTGTGGCTGGGGCCATACTAGAAGTGAAAGCCAATGGAGGCAAAGTCTATGGAGGCCTAAAGGGAGGAGTGCCCAGGTCTCCCCACCTCTAACTCACATCCCATGAGGTGCCGTTTGAGTAATGAAATTAGAGAAGTGGAGTCTAGTTATTATTTGGTGGCTAAAGTTATGTTTCTATGATTAAGAATCTTCTGTTCCATAACTGCCTTCCTGGTAGTTGTGTGGAAGGTGTGGAAATTAGGTCAGTCAAAGCCAAAACACATGATTAAAAGGCACCATGAGTGAGAGTCAGCAAAAGCAGCCTTTATGCACAAAGACTTCAAATACTAGAATTGTCAGGCATAGGTAATAAGTTTACTATGTTTACTGCTCTTAAAGGAATAGAAGACAAGCTTAAAATTATTGATAAAAATCTGGAAATTGTATTTTATTAAAAAATTATTTATTAAAAATTTTTTTAAAAAATAAACTCTTTCTTTCTTTCTTTCTTTCTTTCTTTCTTTCTTTCTTTCTTTCTTTCTTTCTTTCTTTCTTTCTTTCTTTCTTTCTTTCTTTCTTTCTTTCTTTCAGTAAGCTCTATGCCCAACATGGGGCTTGAACTCATGACCCCAAGATCAAGAGTCTCATGCTCTACCAACTGAGCCAGCCAGGCACCTCCTGGAAACTTTTTTTTAAAAGATTTTATTTATTTATTCGACAGAGAGAGACAGCTAGAGAGGGAACACAAACAGGGGGAGTGGGAGAGGGAGATGCAGGCTTCCTGTGGACCAGGGAGCCCAATGCGGGGCTCAATCCCAGGACCCTGGGATCATGACCTGAGCCGAAGGCAGATGCTTAACGACTGAGCCACCCAGGCGCCCCTGGAAATTGTATTTTAAAATGACGTAAAATTGAGGAATAACTGCCTAGAACATCTAGAAATACAAACCAAAATAAGTGACTGACAAATTCCTGGGTAGTTTTAACAACCCATTATATAAAAGTAAAGAAAGAATGAGTAAAATGCATGAGAGCTCAGAAAAACTTATCAATAATAAACATCAGAGAGACAGATGGAAAATATGGGAGATTAAAATTCATGAAAGCAGAGGTGTAAGGTCTGAAATACACTTAATATTAGAAACTAATCAATGGAATTTACCACATTAACAGATTAGAGGACAAAACTCATATTAGCAACTCAATAAATATAGGAAAAACATTTGATAAATTTCAAAATTCATTCATGACAAAAACTAAAAGTAGAAGAATGTCCTTAACCTCATAACAGGTATCTACAAAAAGATCTACCATGAACATATAAACTGTGAAATGTCAAAAGGTTTTCCTTTGGAATCAGGAATATATAAAGATGTATGAAACACTGCTTCTGCTTAGTTTTGTACTGGAGATTCTAGTACTATAAAGTAAAACAGAGAAAGAAAAGAGAGGGAGAAGCAGAGGGAGGGAGAAAGTCATAAGCAGAAAGAAGACAAAAAGTCATTATTTTTAGCCATTACAATTCTGTCTGAAGAAAATCCAGCAGATGAATTGTTAGAACTAATGAACTTACATGTAATGAGGTTGCTGGATATGTCATCAATACATATAAATTTAATTATTTTATATCTACTAGTAGTAAATATAAAAATTAAAAAGTGCCATTGCAGAGTCCAGAAATAAAGTCACACTAACATAGTCAATTAATCTATAACAAAGGAGGCAAGAATATGTCATGGGGAAAAGACAGTCTCTTCAATAAATAGTGCTGGGAAAACTGGACAGCTACATGCAAAAGAATGGAACTGGACCACTTTCTTACATCATACACAAAAACAAACTCAAAATGGATCAAAAACCTAAATATGACACCTGCAGGGCGCCTGGGTGGCTCAGTCGTTGAGCGTCTGCCTTCAGCTCAGGTCATGATCCCAGGGTCCTGGGATCGAGCCCCGCATCGGGCTCCCTGCTCAGCGGGAAGCCTGCTTCTCCCTCTCCCACTCCCCCTGCTTGTGTTCCCTCTCTCGCTGTGTCTCTCTGTCAAATAAATAAATAAAATCTTAAAAAAAAATAAATATGAGACCTGAAACCATGAAACGCACAGAAGAAAACATAGGCAGTAATCTCTTTGACATTGGCCTTAGCAACATTTTTCTAGAGATGTCTCCTCAGGCAAGGGAAGCAAAAGCAAAAATAAATTATTAGGGCTGCCCCCAAATAAAAAGCTTTTGCACAATGAAGGAAACCGTCAACAGAATGAAAAGGCAGTCTAGTGAATGGGAGAAGATATTCGCAAATGATATATACATAAGGGGTTAGTATTCAAAAGCTATAAAGAACTTAATACAACTCAACATCAAAAAAACAATCTGATTAAAAAAATGGGCAGAAGACATGAGTAGACATTTTCCCAAAGAAGACAAGCAGATGGTCAACAGATACATGAGAAGATGCTCAACATCACTAAATGCAAATCAAAACCACAATGAGATATCACCTTACCCGTGTCAGAATGGCTAAAATAAAAAAAAAGGAAGACAAGAAATAACAAGTATTGGTGAAGATGTAGAGAAAAAGGCACCCTTGTGCACTGTTAGTGGGAATGTAAATTGGTACAATCACTGTGGAAAAATAGATGGAAGTTCCTCAAAAAATTAAAAATAGGAATACCACATGATCCAGTAATTCCATTACTGAGTATTTACCCAAAGAAAATGAAAACACTAATTTGAAAAGATATTTGCATTTCTATGTTTATTGTAGCATTATTTCCAATAGTCAAGATATGGAAACAGCCTAAGTGTCCACTGATAGATGAATGGATAAAGAAGTTGTGATATATAAATATATATTAATATAATATATTTTATTTATTATCATTAACATATTACATATAAAATGTTATTTATTATATATTAATAAATTGTAATAAAATGCAATATGTTAAAAATATATAACATAACATAATATTAATAATTATATAATTATATAAAATATGTAATATAAATAAAAACAAAATTAATAAAAATATAAATATGCGATAAATATATAATAACTAATAATATAGACTAAAACAATAAATATTAAGAAAAATAATATTAATAAATTATAATATAATGTATAATATGATATATATCATAATATATATGATATATATAGCATTATATGGCTGAATAATATTCCAGCCATGAAAAAGAACAAGAACTTGCCATTTGCAACAACATGGGTGGACCTGGAGGGTATTGTGCTAAGTGAAATAAGTCAAAGAAAGTCAAATATCAGATGATTTCACTTATATGTGGAATCTAAAAAACAAAACAGATGAACAAACAAATAAACAAAAAAACAGGACTAGACCAATAGATACAGAAAACAAACTGATGGTTGCCAGAGGGGAGATGGTTGGGGGATGGGTGAAAAGAACGAAGGGGAATGGGAGATACAGGTTTCCAGTTATGAAATGAATAAGTCATGGGGATAAAAGGTACAGCACAGGGAATATAGTCAATGGTATTGTAATAACATTGTGTGGGACAGATGGTAGCTACACTTGTGGTGAGTATAGCATAATGTATAGAGTTGTTGAATCACTGTGTTGTACATCTGAAACTCATGTAACAGATGTCAACTATACTTCAATTTAAAAAAAGTTAAAAAAATGCCATTGCAAAAACCTAAAAATATAAAATATGTATGGATAAATCAATCAAAAAGTGTATAAGCACTTATGGAGAAAATGACAAACTTCAAGAATCAAATCATTAAGATAAATAGATGTATCATTAGACAAACAGTTGATAGTTCCTTAGGGGACCCTGAAAGAGTAGTTCAATTATAGATATAACTATGGAACAAATAAGGCATCGAACATCAGCAGGAAAAGGATGAATAAATGGTGCTGGGATACTTGTATAGCTGTATAGAAGAAAATACAACTGGTGTCCCTTCCTCACACCTTACAGTACAAACATCAGAAGGATTAAAATCCAGAAGGATTAAAGGTACATACATGAAAGGAAAAACTATATAACTTTAGAAAGATAATAGGGGAGAATATTTTCAGAACCTAATTGAAGGAAGGAAAGATCTTTATTAAGACACAAAAAGCACTAAATTTGACTTCACTAGAATTGATGTCCATGAAAAGACACCATTAAGAGAAGAAAGACAAGCAGGAGAGAAAAAGAGAGACAGAATATTTGCTTTACATATAACTAAAAGATTAGAATCCAGATTACTTAAAGGACTTTTATATCAATAGGAAAAAGACAACCCAAGAGAAAACTGGGAAAAAGATTTGAAGTCACTTTATAAAAGAGAAAATCCAAATGGCTAATGGAAAGATGAAAAGGGTGTCAATGATCTATAACCATACCATTTATTTTTGACCAGTTGTCAAAAGTAGAAAGTCTTGTAATGCCAAGTGTTGGTGAGGATATGGGGTAATAGGATCTCTCGCCCTGCTGGTGTGAATGCAAATTGAGAATGCAAATCAGGAAAACTTTGAAGAATGGTTTCTCATTATATAGAAAAGTTGGTGATGGGCACAGCTCACATGTCCTGGGGCTTGGACCCTGGAGATGCCCTTGCACGTGTCCACATGGGTATGTGCATCAAAAAGCTCCTATAGCATTGTTGCTACCAGCCTGGCCATGCAAGCAACCCAAATGTACTTCAGCCATATTGTAGACACACATATTGCAATATTTCTTGCTGTGGGATGTGCGGCCATGCAATGAATGATTCGTAGCTACACAAACAACAGAGATGAATCTCCAAAAATAGGATTGAATAAAAGAAGCAAGACACAGAATAATACATACAGTACTGTTCGATGATAGAAAGTTAAAAAACTAGCAAAAGTAACCCCTCTTGTTTAGGGCTGCCTATAAATGTGGTAAAATGGAATGAAAAGTAAGGAACTGATGGTTGCCAAAATTAGGATAATGGTCTCTCCAAAAAGGGAGCAAGGAGATGGGGGTTTGGGATCACAAAGGGAGGTGTGAGAAGCTATTGGGAGGGTGGCAATGATCTCTTACTTTGGGTTGTGATTTCATAGATGTTTGAGTCTTATTATTCTCCGAATACATATGTATTTTTATGCATTCTTATGTATGTATGACATATCATAATAAAAAAGCAAAGAAATAAGACCTGATCCCATCGTTATGGAGCTAACAGTGGAGGAGAAAGACTTTTAAATAGATAATTTCAATGAAATGTGAGAAATGCTTTTAAAATAATAACAACTCACATTTATGCACCATTTACTATGCACCAGGTACTGTTTTAAATGTCTTGTGTATTATCTCATTTAATTATTTAAAGACATCTAGGAGGTAGGCACTCTTGGCCCTATTTTAAGTACCGGTGCAAAAAAGGAGGCACGGAAAGTTTATCTGGAGAGTAAGCAGTGGAGCTGGGACTTGAACCCAGGCCTGAACACCTGATTACTACATCGCCTTGTCTCTTCATTTCTGCCTCAAGACCCCAGAGGATGGTCAGAAAAGGCTGCACATTTGACCTGGGTTTTAAATGCTCACTAGGGAAGCGTTTCTAAGGGGGAAGGAAAAATTTCCTGTCATGAGAGAGGCTGGCACCTTCAGGGAATTGTGGGGAGACGCATTTGGCAGAAGCATAGGATGGATAAAAGAAGTGAAGCAAAACTACACCTGGGATTGTTTTTATTTCTGGGCAGTGTGGGAGGGGGGTGTGCTGGTGTGACATGAGGAGGGCTGGTTGGGAGGCCGCTGGGATGAGAGATGTAGGAAATGGTGAAGGCCCAAATGAAGGCAGGAGAGACAGAGAGGGAAGGATGGGCACATATCCCCCCTCCTCTCCCTCACCAGTCCTGGGTCGGCAAGTCCTCTGGGGGATCACCCCGGTGATCATGTGTGTCTATTCGTGGCTTGGGTAGAGGCCTCTCCCCCGAAAGACTGGCCTCTTGCATGTGTTAACTCGTAACTTGCCCCCAGTAAATGAGTGAATAGCAGCAATCAGTACATAAGCAATACTCATCTTTCGTGAATTGGAGTGGGTGCTTCAACTGTTATGACCCTACTTTGCTTGTCCCGCTGTGCCATTCTTATCTTGTAGGCTAGGAAGACGGCTCGTCCTGTGGTCCACAAGCATTGGCGTATTTTTCTTCGGCATAGCAGCGGCTTTCTCATCTGATTATTACGGCTTCATGATCGCTCGCTTTCTTCTAGCCATGGTGAGTTGTGTGTGTGCTTTTTTACAAAAAACCTCATTAATTCTCCTGCAGTGTTTTCACACCGAGCCTAGCTGTCTTAGTTTGGGTCATTTCGAATGCGGTGACAGAGGGCAAGGACTCATCTTTGTCCGTGCCCCTGAGAAGTCTTTCTGTGGAACAGCAGTGCCCTGTGTTTACAGTGAAACTCATTAACGTGAAAAATGGTTGCTTACTAGGCAGAGACTTTTTGTTTGATGCCATGCTTGGCACGTGGTCCACATTCCACAATTACTAAGGCATTATTTCATTTCTGAGCAATTCCAGCGGCCGAGTCAGGCCCTGTATGCATGAGCCATAGGTGTGTTGTTAAAAGTCGTTTGTATACTGTGCAGTAGGAATGAAAACAAGAAAGTGCTGGGCTTTTCTGTTGCGAGGAACAAGGAAATGGAGGGAAAAGGGCATGAGTTTGAATACCAGCCTTGTCATAGTTTGGCTTTTTCACTGTGTGGCCTTGGGCAAACACGGTGTTCTCTTCAAGCCTTAGTTTCTAAGCTGTAAACTGTAGAAAATACTACTTGCTTCACTGGGTTGTTATCAGGAGCCAGTGAGATTAAAGTTAACTTGCACGGTAGGGCACCGGACACGACATAGGCCGTCCTTCCAGTGGGGACTATCATTGTAAGTGGACCAGCCAGTGACGAAGTGTCCCCACACTTGGGGACAGCGTCTAAGCTGCCAAATGACAGCAGCAGTGAATCCTGTTGGAGGTCACCAGTCAAGGATAGTGGAGTGAAGTTTCTGTCTGTGGGAGGAACTTGTGACCTTGCTAAACTCAGGGATGGGTACGCATCCCCATTCACCAGGACGTACGTATGAGCCAAGATTCCGGGGAGAGGCCAAGGACTGCAATCTCAGGGAGGTCCCAGCCCTCACAGAGCAGGCTGGTGTGTTCAGTTTTGAAGTCCTCACTGATGGCTGGACAGGGTTCCTAGGAAGCCATGTGGATGGCCAGGGATAGGGATGATGCATAAAAAGAAAAAAATTGGGGAGAATTGGAGGTGTAGCCCCTTTAAAAAAAGTAATTATATATATTTAGGAAGGTAAAGAGTTTTTAATACAAAAGATGACAAGCAGCAGTCTGTGTCCACTGAGGACAGAATGAGAGGAAATGGCTCTGTGACTGCAGAATGAGATTTGATGAGCCCTTGGTGGGAATGATGATTCAACGGAGGCACAGGGATGGAGAGAGTGTGAAGGTCCTCTTTTGGAAGGCTTAAGAGGATGCATTCTGAAAATATCTGTTTCAGTCTTAGAAATACCATGTGTTTATTTCCAGAACTGAGAAAATGAGACAGCCACTCATTGAATACATTTGTAAATGTGAACTTAATTTTCTGTCTTTGATTTTCAAGAGAAATGTAGTTGGGGTTGAATTCTGAGTAGGGAAGATGCCGGCAGACTCATTTACTCAACACATTTATTAGAATCTGCCCACAGAGTGTAATGCTAAGTAAACCAGACCAGACTGTTTCAATAACCCTACAGTGTAGTGGGAAGGCAAGACACTGATGGGCCATTTTGGAAAATTCAATGTTGACAATGGAGGCGTAACAGTGCGGGGGAGGGGATCTTAAGTTGGGAGAGTGGAGAGTCTGGAGAATTAGGGGCTTTTTAGTGAGGAATGGGTAAGAGAAGAATGTTCCAGGTAGAGACAGCAAGTAAGAAGGCCCTAAGATGAGAAGGAATTGAAGGTCTGGATGTCTGGAGAATAGAGAGGAGGTAAAACACCTTGATGAGGCTGAAGGGATGGGGATGATTAGCCAGGGCCTTGGAGGATGATCAAGAGTTTGCTTGATTTCCTAGAGGCAATGGGAATGTCCTGAAGGGGTTCAGGTGGGGGCGAAGTGGCTGTTCTGGCTGCTATGTGGGGGTGGGGTCAGGGGAGATATGAAGAACAGTGTTCTCCGTGGAGGTGACAGGTGTGAATGAATCCAAGGAGCGTTTTGGAATTACAGAGTTGTGTATGGCTTGACTGAACCCAGTGACAGAAGTAACCAGTAGGAAGTGGGAGTGCGCTCAGGATTACTATGGGAAAAAAAAAAAACCTGCCAGGGACTGATGTTACCGCTTAACTTAATGGGGGAAATCTGTAGTATTTGGCGGTCCTCACCATCTTTGTTTGTGTACTGTAACAACAGCAAACATTACCAAACAACTAGATTCTTGGGTGTGGGAGTCCTCATTAGCAGGGTTCATTATCTGAGTCTTGCAATTATAAGGTTGTATGGAGAAGTGAAAGCTGTTGTCACAAAAATATTAAACTGAACATTAATGCAGTAGAGGCTCCACCACCCACATCCCTGTTTACTACTCGTGTCATGTTCTCTGTCACAGGAAATCGCTTGTAGGTTAGCTTCTTCCTGACTCTCCAATGCAAGGAGAAATTGCAGGTCTTACAAAAGATGTTTGATTACAAAAAGTCTTTGAGAGCAATGGGGAAAACTAAATCATCCTACCCAAATCCCTGGGCCAGTTGGGATGTGGTAGAGCTAGACCAGCTAACTTTTGAAGAAATGAACATCCACAAGGATAATGACATGATGAGTCTTTAAAAGAGTATGATTTGAATATCAAAGGATTAAGAGAGGCCTTTGGCTCTTGAATAATTTTGCAAAAATTAACTTTATGATTTGTGTTACAGAAGTCAAATGTGAAATACTCTTGTAGGAAAAATTCTAATCCTTTCATCACCCCCCCAACAAAAAAATCCATCATTTGATTCATTCTTTGTTTATTCCAAGAATGATCACATATCGCTATTATAGTCTACATTTTGTTAAAGATAAGCTTATTTTCAAAATAAAGTTACTTTCCCCAATTTTTAAAATTGTGGTAAAATACACATAACATAAAATTTACCATCTTAACCATTTTTAAGTATACATTTCAGTGATATTAAGTACATTCATATTGTTGTGCAACCATAGTCACTATCCATCTCCAGAACTCTTTTAATTTTGCAAAACTGGAACTCTATACCCATTAAACACTCTCATTTCCTCCTCCCCCCACCCCCTAGCAACCATATTCTACATTCTATTTCTATGATTTCCACTACACTATTTAACTCATATAAGTGGAATCATACAGTATTTTATCTTTTTGTGATTGGCTTATTTCACTTAGTATAATGTCCTTAAAAGTTCATGCATGTTGTAGCATGTGTCAGAATTTCCTTCCTTTTTAAGGCTGAATAATAGTCCATTATCTGGATAGACCACATTTTGCTTGTCTATCCATCTGTCTGTGGATGCTTGCATTGCTTCCACATTTTAGCCATTGTGAATAATGCTGTTACAAACATGAGTGTACAAGTATTTCTTTGAGGCCTCGTTTTCAATTATTTTGGATGTATATCCAAAGTGGGACTGCTGAATCTTATGGTAATTCTATTTTTAGTTTTTTGGGGGAATCCCCGTGCTGTTTCCCATAACAGCTGTATCATTTTATATTCCCACCAATAGTGCACAAGAGTTCCAGTTTCTCCATATCCTTGTCAACACTTGTTATTTTCTATTGTTGTTGTTGTTGTTGTTGTTTTTATAGTAGCCATCCTAATGGCTATGAGGTGGTATCTCAGCGTGGTTTTGATTTGCATTTCCCTAATGGTTAGTGATGTTGAGCATCTTTTCGTGTGCTTATTGGCCATTCGTGTATCTTTTTGGAAAAATCCAAATTCTTTGCTCATTTTGAATTGGATTGTTTGCTTTGTTGTTGAGTTTCAGGAGTGTTCTATATATGCTGGATATTAATTTCTTATCAGATATATGATTTGTAAATATGTCATTCCACAAGGTGCCTTTTCACTCTGTTGGTAGTCTCCTTTGATGCACAGAAGTTTCTAATTTCCATGAAGCCCAGTTTGTTTATTTTCTCTTTTGTTGCTTGTTAAAATAAAGTTTCAATCAAATCTTTTTCTTCACATTAGATATCATTATTTTTTGCCCCCATTTAACAATTTAGGATTTAATAATAAGGACCTCTTATCTATAGAGTAATTGGTATGCATGTTTACAGTTACATTAACTGAGAAAGAAAGGCACATTACAGAGGAATCCTTACCTGAAGCAAAAGGCAGCACCTAACATATATCATACATGTCCTCTCATCTGAGTCTGGCCGTTCAGGGTGGTGAGGGTGGGGGAAGGATGAAAAGAACCATTTAAAGAAGAAGGATGGATTGGATTAAATGCCATTTTCGAAATGTGGTAAGGGTTTCAGAAAACAATTTTGTCATTTTCTTTCTTGCCTATGTGTGATATGCAGAGAGATCAGACCCCTGAGCAGTTGTAAATGTGACCTTAAATCTGGACCACCCTCCCTGCTTTGTTTTTCAGTCTGGAAGTGGCTATCTCGTGGTGGTGTTTGTCTATGTGACGGAATTTATTGGCATGAAGTCTCGGACGTGGGCATGCATCCAGATGCATTCCTTTTTTGCCATTGGAACAATGGTGGTGGCTTTGACAGGCTACTTTGTCAGGACCTGGTGGACCTATCAGATAGTCCTCTCCACAGTGACTGTCCCCTTTGTCGTGTGCTGTTGGATACTCCCAGAGACACCTTTTTGGCTTCTTTCAGAGGGAAGATATGAAGAAGCACAAAGAGTAGTTGATACGATGGCCAAGTGGAATAGGGCAAGCTCCTGTAAACTGTCAGAACTTTTGTCACTAGATCTAAATGGTCCTGTCGGTAATGCACCCTTTGAAGTTAAGAAGCACAACCTATTAGATCTGTTTTATGACTGGAATGTTGGAACAAGGACATTTATTGTTTGGCTGATTTGGTTCACTGGGTGTTTGGGATTCTACTTCTTCTCCTTGAATTCTGTTAATTTAGGAGGCAATGAATATTTAAACCTCTTCCTCATGGGTAAGTAGTTAAATTATATTTAAGTACAGCAATGAGGTGATGTTTCCACCATGTTTTTCTTGTGTTTTTATTGTCTTTTCTCTACCAGGAACAATACTGCCAACTATATTATTACAGTCTCTTTTAGTGTTATTATGCTGGAACACAGGTATATATTTTCTTTTAAAACAATGCCAACAGTCAGAAGAATTTAGTTCCTCCTTCCTTTTCTGCCTCTGCTCCTTGCTTGCTTCCTTCCTGTAAGCCCACCCCCATCTCAGAACTCTCTTTGAGAGGTGATGTCTATAATATCTGGCTTGTACTCTTTTAGATCTCCTTCTATGCATTTTCATACATTTGTGCAGAGAAAGAGATCATTCTCTTTGTAGGTAACTATTGTTCTTTGTAAATGGCTTTCCTTTTAAAATTTAATACGTCTTGGAGATCTTCTGGTATCTTTCTACCTTCAAAAGCCCCTAATTTAGAAATTGCAGTCACTAAGATCACTTAAATCCATGCAACTATAATTTCATTGTTGTGCTTCTTTCATTTTAGTGCCAGGTTAAAATGGCCCCAGATACTGACGTCTTGAGGCGTGACTCTGATGGCCAACCAAATTCACACCAAACATGAGAGATATATTAGAAATCTATATCTGTCCATCTAGTCTTAACTCCTGGTCATTTTCACAAAGGCTGACTGCATTTGCTATTATCCTCAGAAAAATCTTGCTCTTACATTTTTACACATAGATAGCATCCCTTCTCATTAAAGTGCTCTGATGTCACATCTGTTTTTATTATAGCTCAGCAGGAATTACCAGAGAAGTCATTTTAAGAAAAAATAAAACACCGTTATTCTCTTTTTGGGCAAACCAACAAGTTTGCAGAGTCCATCTTGGCTTCAAACCCATTCTAGATGTCAGTTTGAGAAATGATGTGGTCTTCCTACAACAGAGCAGGAGGTGACGGGAGGACCGAGTGGGGTGGGGTGTGACGTGGGGAAGCTTTGGGAAGTTGGAGTCTTAGATCTTTATGACATAGTTTCTTTGTTTTAATGAAGATATAAATTCTCAAGAAACTGGGACATCTCATAAATATAAAAATGTGTCTAAGATAAATATACATGGTTTTCTATTCCCTACTGTCTTGGATTTTTCATGTTATTCCCCTTCCCAGAAGTCTTCTTGCTGACAGGCGCTTCCAGTCAACATTTCTATGCTGTGACATTTTGGAACGAGGTTTTCTCTCCTGAGACGGGTTGGGGCTGGTGGGGATTTCAGCCCAGGTTTTGTGCCACTTTCAAGTGATAAATGCTTCAGCAGCTTCAAGACATACCCTTGGGGTTATGTGGGGATAGGAGGGGAACTGGGTCTGGGTGATTGGAGATTCTATATTATAGAGTGAAGAAAGTAATGGCAGACTGTCCGAATCCAAAGAGGTGTGGGCCTCATTGCTTGCACCATTTCTATCCCATGCACAGTCACACCAAAAATTAGATGGGGTATCAGTATCCTGAAGCGACAACTCAAGAAAAACCAGCGTAGGATACTTTAAATGTCTCTACAGCCATTTCACAGTGGTTGCCCTGCTTGGCTAGACCCCAGGAAGTTGGTTGGTGGCCCAGCACCCAGTCCTGAGGCACGGAGGGAGGCAGTGGGGGAGGGAGTCTTCAAGAAAGGAGTCGTGCCCCCTGAAGACCTTGCTTCCAGTCCCTGAGGTGTCCCTTACTCATTCGGCTCAAAACATTTACTCTCCATTGTAAAGTGGGGACACGAAGCTGGGCTTACTCCCATGCGATTCTTTTGAGGGTCATGACCCTGGGCCTTGAAAAGTGCTTGATAAACTCTTAAAAATAAATAAAATAACATAAAAAAAAGAGTAGAGTAAGAGATATATACCCTGATCTGGCCCGAAAGCATGGACCTTACCACTGCAGGGTTGGTGCAAGGGAGCATTTCCTTCAGAGCTGACTATTTTCCATGTTGATGAAAGGGAGCAAGACCAGCTCTCAAAGGCAGCTCAGAATGTTCTTTTTTGCCTTTGTCTGAGCCACTTTTTTTTGAGCAGCAGCAGCTGTGGACATTTCTGATGTACTGCTGAGAATGTTCACCGGGAGTATAGGTGTCTACCCCTACGATGTGTTCAGCAGCTGTGGGAGACAGAGAGGCAGACCAGTCTCTCCAGGTGCTTGCAGCATTCTGCAGCTGGATGGGCAAGGGCAGGTCTCTCCTGAGCAGTGGGGGCGGGGCGCACCCTGAGATTTAGGCAAGCTGCGGATGGGGGGAGAACTCCAGACTGAATTACATGGAAGATCTGGCCTGGTAGACCATGGCAGTTTCCTAAAGGAGATGGTTGGGGTTGCTCAGTTTGGCCAAAAGATCTTGCTTGCTTCCTGTTTGATTCTGGCTGGTAGACATAGAGCTTTTTGGCTCTGGATCTCACTTTGGTTTTTCAAGAGAAGGGCTTTTAAGTCAGTTATGGACTTGGAGATCCAGCTCTTTACTTTTGTGGTGGGGCAGGAAAAAGAGGCCCGAGGCAGTTTCTGTTCTGTAGGGGATTCATCTTAGATTTTTAGATGTTTACTTTTAGATTTAAAAATCCATCACGCATTATCATTAGTTTGTGTACTTAGCTGACAGTGAATTTTCTACTTCAGTTCCTAACTTTGAAGTTACTGATGTAGAATTTTCTCTCGTTCTGCCAAGTGCGAGAAACCAAAGATCAGAAATTATCAATGTCGTCAATGAATTTACTCATGTATTCATCCAACAGGCCTGTCTTCTGGGCCCCATGTGGTATACTGGGGAGCTCACAGCCTAGTGGGTGGCAAGATCCCCGGGACAGGTGATAAGTGCCAGGCGGATTGAGGGAGCGCTAGTGCATTAACAGGACACATCCTCTTCACCCCAGGGAGTTTATTTATTTATTTATTTATTAAGATTTTATTTATTTATTTGACAGAGAGAGACACAGCGAGAGCAGGAACACAAGCAGGGGGACTGGGAGAGGGAGAAGCAGGCTTCCCACAGAGCAGGGAGCCTGATGTGGGGCTCGAACCCAGGACGCTGGGACCATGACCTGAGCCGAAGGCAGACGCTTAACGACTGAGCCACCCAGTCGCCCCCCTCTCCACTCCAGGGAGTTTAAAAGGGGTCAGGCTTGTAAGGCAGGTGTTGTGTAGCTCTTAGGGGCTCCTGGAAGTGGGAAGAGGGCTGATCATTCCTTTCGGGTGATGGGTTAGAAGGCGAGGTCCCCTTGTGCGGTTGGCTGCCATGGCTTATAGAGAGCCCTTTTGCTCAATGACAGGTGCAGTGGAAATTCCTGCCTACGTCTTCATATGCTGGGGGATGGACAGTATAGGGAGAAGAAACATTCTGGCCTTCTCCCTTATCTCAGGAGCACTGCTCTGTGGTGTGGTTATGGTGATCCCCAAGGTGAGTTATTTTTATGTTTTACTGAAGACATGGTTAGTTAGTTATACTATGACAGTAAGGATGAAGATCAATTCAGACATATGGACAGAGTATATACATAATATTTTAAAATATTTTTTTTTAAAGATTTTATTTATTTATTTGAGACAGAGAGAATGAGAGAGAGAGAGCACATGAGAGGGGGGAGGGTCAGAGGGAGAAGCAGACTCCCCGCCGAGCAGGGAGCCCGATGCGGGACTTGATCCTGGGACTCCAGGATCATGACCTGAGCCGAAGGCAGTTGCTTAACCAACTGAGCCACCCAGGCACCCTAAAATATTTTTTTAAAAACTGTTCTTTCCCTGTGATGTAAGTAATACATGTTCATTTAAAAAAAAATTAAGGAAAAAAGTGTTTTCTCTTTTTAAAAAGCCCATAATCCCACTTCCCAGGGATGACCAATGTTGTATTTTGTAAACACAATGGTCCTGAATGAGGAAAGTTGATCATGTCTTCCAGTGATTATTATTATCTTAAACATTCATTCATTCAGCAAATATGTATCCAGAATCTGTTATGTGCCAGGTGTTGTCCTAAGTGCTGAAGACACACAGTGAATCAAGTTTCTATAAGTATGAAGAAAAACAAAACAGGATGAAGGATGGAGAATGTGTGTGTGTGTGTGTGTGTGTAACACATGTGTTTGTTTTATCCAGGGTGATGATCGAGGATGGTGTGCCTCTCAGAGAAGGTGACAGTTGATTAGAAACCTGAAGGAGGGAGGAAGCCAATAGAGACATCTGAAGGATACAATGAGTTTTATATTCAGGACTGTTTCCATTTAAATAGTCTTGTTTTTCATTGCAGTAGATTAGTTGTTTCCAATTTTGAGTATGCCTAAATCCCTCAAGGAGCTTGTTCTTAAAAATGCAGTTTCCTACTGAGAGATACTGCCATAAACTACTGAACCCACTTTCCCATTCCTATATTTTCCTATATTCCTATGTAACTCTTGCATCCAGAAGTGCGCCTCCTCTTTCTCCCCGCAAAATGTTATCAGAACCTGTGTTTTCATTCTTGATTTGGAAAATATGGTCACTCTAACAGTACTTTAAAATACTTTCTAAATTTTCTCTAGGATTATATAATTATTCAGTAATAGTATCTCACCATTTAGAGCAAGGCATGTTAAGTTTTGCATATTGTTTGAAATTTACTCTAACCAGTGACTTCTTTTTATAGTAATACTTCACTTAATTCTCAAGGTTGGCAAATCATATGTTTTATGTAACTGAGATTTCCAGCTGATTGATGCACAACTAATATGAATGCAGTAAAACTACTCAGGGCCAGGGGGGTTGCTGCCAATTTGAGGGAACTTCATCCATACCTCTTTTTGTTTGTTTTTAAAGTGGTTTACAGGTATACTAGTTGAGTTGATGGCAGCTGTCTCTGAAGCTAGCTGGTGAATATTTAGGGGAACCCCAGAGCGTTTGAGTTCGATAGTGGTTAAGCCCCTGTGATAATGGGGAAAACAGGAGAGTAGCTGATGGGGATTTCTAGAAACACGGCACTAACTCTTAACCACAAATTTCTTCCTTCTAATGAAGTTTCTCCCCAAATGGCAGTGTAAACACCCTTCAGTGTTTTTCAAGTTACATTAATTCATTCAACAAACACTGTCTACAACAGATACTGTCAACAGATTCATCCAACAAACACGCAGGAATCAGGATGACAAGGTGACATTGGTTGCTTTATTAGCGACATCATCGAGTCCCAGGGACTTCACATAATAGATATTTATTTCTTGCTCATAGAAAGTTTGATGTGGGTGTACCTGGTTGGTAGTGGTGGGAGTGGTGAGGGGGTGTTTGGCTCCACGGAGTCATTCAGGGGTTCAGGTTGACAAAGGGGCTGCCATCCTCAACACACGAGCCGCAGGGTCTCCTGGGTCTCCACATCCAGCGGGCAGACAGGAGAGGAGAGGGAAGATGGAATGCGGGAGGCCTGTGTGAGCCACAGCTGGACGTGGAGCACATCAGGGACAGCAGAAACTGAGTTGGAGTCGCAGAGAAGTATCACTGTTGAGGTGCATTAACAACAACAACAAAAATCTGTTTTAATAGCTCAGTTATCACTTTCCAATTATTTTCTGAAAATAATTTATAAGCTAGAGGATTACTGTCACAAAGGGCCCAATTTGTTTTTATGGCTCTTTGATTCATTCTGCCTGGATCAATTCCAGAAGGAGTGGGTCGATTACTACTGGAACCAGCACCATCTGGGCGTGTCTCACTTCATAGCAGTCTCTGCAAATGGCTTTTCTAATTGGATCATTTGACATCTCCAAGGCTGGAGGGGAGGCACAATTAAACTTTTCTCTAAATTTCAGGGAGATGAAAAGCTTTTACAGACTATGAGTAGAGATTACAAAATAAATTCAAACAGAGATAAAACTTTTCATTGTTCTGAACAATATTGGATAATTAGAAAGTTTTAAATAATAATTAAGATTTTATATTTTCTTTTAAAAATATTACTCATGATGGTCTATTTTGCGAACATATGGTTTTTCAGGATTACTTTGTTTGGACTGTGGTGGTGACTATGGCTGGAAAATTTGCCATAGGGGCATCGTTTGGCCTCATTTACCTTTATACGGCAGAGCTGTATCCAACCATGGTAAGGTAAGACTTACTTATTTTTCTTTTGTTTTCTTGTTATGTTTTGCTTACACGTCGTTTCATTATATTTGACCTTTGAGTAGAAATGCTTTCTTTCTGTAGCAGTTGCTGGAGCTCTGAGATATGGGAAAGTCACACGATGATGCTAATTCTGAATCTGAGGCTTTGTCTACACCCCATTAGCAAGGATATTAAAGAAATTGTTGTGAAATCACACTCTATAATCTCAAGTACAATTGACTTACACTGACTCTCCATATGACTCAAGGCTAATTTTCTTAGGATGTGTCTCTTAATGTTCTGATGTCCGCTGTCTTAATTTTTAGGGCTTCCATGACAAAACACCAGAGGTTGGGTGGCTGAAACAGCAGAAATCTATTTTCTCACATATCTGGAGGCTAGAGGTCCAAGATCAAGGTGTTTGGCTGATTTGGTTTCTCCTGTGTGGGGCCTCTCTCCTTGGCTTAAAAAGAGATACTCATTCACATTAAAAGCACATTCTTTCCTTCTTACTAGACATTCCATAAGGCTACCTTATATAGCTTTTAAAGAAAAGCACATTAAGATACTGCTTGTCTTTAAAAAGTTGAAATAGAATGTTCCATAGATATAAATCTTTCATTCTTCCCCATTCCATCCATTCCCTACCGCAAACAAATTCCTGCTCTAGAAGACCAATGTTGTTCTCAATGTTAGACTGAATGAATATACATAAGGGCCTCATCTGCATAGCAAAGGAAGAATGGTTTATTTTTATTTTTATTTTTTTGGTCTTGAAGTGTCTTGAACGATCCGTATGCTTGTATATACCACTGTTTCACAGAATGTGGATGTAAGTCACAAGTGATGCTCGAAACTTTAGTGTAAAATTATTTTCCAGTATATTGGGCCGAGCTTCAGTTTTATTATGTTTCTTCTCCACTGGGAGTGTGGGCGGGGCTGCAGGCGGCCCCCCCCCCTCTGCGCACCTGGGCTCTGCTCGGCTTCGGATCCGGCTGCAGTCTTTTTTTCTTTTTCTTTTCCTTCTGGCTGCCGTGTTAATGCTCCTCCTGTTTGCAGGTCGCTGGCCGTGGGAAGTGGCAGCATGGTGAGCCGTGTGGGAAGCATCGTGGCCCCGTTCTGGGTTTCTCTCTCCAGCGCTTGGACCTTCCTACCACAGGTGTGAATCAGAGAACTGAGACAGCAGAGAGGCAGAGCAGCTAACTGCCTTCTGTCTTTGTACTTCTTGGAAGCCAGTTAGTTTATAATTCACTTATGGAGGTTTATGGGAACTCTTATTACCAGCTCCGTGGTCGGTAAGGAGGGCGGTGGTTGCTGTTTTGTGTTGGGCGATCGCCTTTGGCTTCTGGTGAGCCGTTAAGTGCAATTGTGTCTGCTGTGGGAGGACCTCTGGCCGCCCAGCTCCTGAAGCTGCGGAGGGAGAGCTCAGGTCTCCGTGGCCTCCCAGGCAGCTGGCCCATCCCGCCGTGGGCTCTGGGTTCCCACCATGTGCCTGCCGGTCAAGGTGAATTCTGGAGGCTGCCTGCTGCTTGGAGGATGGAGAGGTTTAGGGGTCTGGTCTCCAGCTTACCTGAGACTTGACAGGCACTTCATGGGGGAGGCTTCTGGTCAGGAGGAAGGTGGGAGATAGGCAGGGGTGGGGGCTTAGGGAAGCGGGCAAGGGTTGGGGGTGCTGGGAGACTTAGGGGAGAGCCCTGGATCTCCGGCCCTCTCCCGCTTCCTCCACGTGCCCTCTCCTGGACTTCTTTGCCACGCTGTCTCTAGGCTGTCCTCTTTCGTCTTCAGTGCTCCTCATTCTTTTTCTGGTTTTCTCTTAACTACACTCATTCTCTGAGAGCCATCCGGGCTGTCCTCCCCAGTCCCTGCATGGATAACCTCTTTTCCTTTCTGACTTCCGTTCCACGCTGCAAACCCATCCTTCCCCTGGTCTCATGGATACTCTCCTGGAGTATCTCACGACAGAGTCAGGTTTTCCCAGATAGGACTGGTCTGTGCCTTAACGCCCTTGTCCTCTGCCCCCCACTTTGGAATAGAAGTCAGCGGCCTGCAGCCTGACACTTGAGCATCTGCGTTTTATTTGCCCTGTTCTTCTATCCCCCCATCCTCCCCATCCATGACATCAAACCCTCACCTTCTTTCTCAAAACCGCCCCAGCTTGCTTGCTTCCAGTTCAATGGCCCCCACCTTCTGCCTCCCAGATCCTCTCCCTGCGCTTCCCCCGACCCCATCAGAAGACTTTGCCACACCACAGCTCTGGCCCGACTGCCACGTCACCTTCAGGGTAGAAGAAAATCCGAGCTCTGCTGGATATTGAAGTCCTTTCCAGATGGAACCCCTGCAGATCGCCCGTCTTCTTTCCTTTCCTCACCCACTTCCTTCTCCGCTGCACCGCCCTCCTCCTGTGCCTCATCCCCTCTGCAGAGAAGCCTTCTCCCAACTGCCCTTGCTAAACTTGCACGTATCTTGAAGACACAGAGCAAACCCCACTTCTCTGAGAAAGACACCCGGATCGCACGCCCCCACGTCTCCCTTCCACACTATCTGTGTAGCATTTCTCGTCTGCTGCTTTCCCAGCCCACGTGGAGCCACAGTCCGGCTTTATGGTCTGCACATGTGTCTTTGTCCCCCTAGTTAAGCTGTTGGACTCTGGCAGGACAGGGCACTTGGGATCCCAACTGCATCCGGCAAAGCATTTCCCTCTCTCTGTGTGCCGCTCATGTTATCACTTAATTGGTATTTTAAATCAAATAGACTGGCTTTTTAAAATTAGCTTTGTCTTCAGCAATATCATCAGCGAAATCATGGCTGTTATGCTAGTCGTATGTTTTTCTAAAGTAAAGTAACGAGATACTTTGTTCACCATGGAACAAAGCGTGTGGTGCTCTCTAAAAATCACCTTGCACACACAGGTGGTGTGCACCTACTCTTTGGGAATCATTGGCTTAGCCTGGATCTCTCTCACGTCCCAGTAACAGGCACTCGGTCAAGTTTGCTTAATTGCGGTGCTGGGATGCCAGCATCTCTCAGGGGCTGACTCTGAGGTTGAGAAATGATACGTGCTGTCTGGCCTGCACAGGAAGAGTCCACCATCCTTTTTAGGGCATGGGCTTTTCTAGAAGCATCTTCTTTGTGCTCTTCATTAAATAAATAGGAGATAAAAGTGGAAAAGGCATTTTTGAAACCAATAAGCTGAAACACACAGAAGAAAATAGATAAATCTATAAAAGCAAACTGCTATATAAATACTAAAACAAAATAAAGATTTTGAAAAAAAAAAGACATCCATAATAGTCAATTAGGGGCTATGGGGTCAAAAGGGACTTTAAGTTTTATTTAACAGGTACTTAAATAGCACTTGTTATGCTAAACTACAAAAACTGGTCTTCATAGAATGCAGATTCATTTTACAGATGAGGAGACTGATGTGTAGAAAGTAATTAGTAGCCCAAGGTCACGGAGGTGACAGAACTTGGATTCAAACCCAAATACCATGCCTTTTACACAGGTTAAACAAACAGTACAAAAGGGAATGCAGAGAAATAAGGTCCTCCACCCTGACCCTGAGTGCCCCAGTCCCCTTTCCCCAAGACAACCTCTGTCAGCAGAGTCTTGTGTATATTTGCAGAGATACTCTGTGAATATCCTTCCTCTGGATGCAACAGATGTTGCTTGTTGTTTTTAATGAGTAAGAAAATAAATTATAAAATTTCTCATTAAGCTTATTTATGGGTGTCAAACTTCCTCGGGAGCCAATATTTTCATTCGGAGGAATGGAAATGCTGATCTAGGAGATAAGTTCGTGTTTTTTTCTTTCAAAAAGAAGCACGTGAAAATAAATCACTCATTCTGATGCTTTTATTATCGACCATTGTTTTTGAGTAATCTAAAAAACAAGCGGACACTAATGCCTATCAGTTTTGTATTCTTCAATGAGTTTGGCAAAGATTTACTGAGTGTTGTTTTTGAACTAACTCCTTGTTAGGTGCTATGGAGCAGGGATGAAAGAAACAGCCTCTGTCTTGAGAAACGTCCGTCCAGTGTGGTGGGGAAGGCGGAAGAGCAAACCATCCCAAGCCCCAGAGATGAGGGCTGTACATGGGGAATGTTAGGGTTCTGGGTTATAGGAGAGGGCTACCAACCCATGCTAGGGCCAGAGGGGAGGCTTCCTGGAGGAGGGGACCTTCAATCTATGTCTGGAAGGGCCAGTAAGAGTCGGCCAGAGGAGAAAGAGAGAAGGGAATTCAAGGCAGGGGGAACAGGAAGGCAAAGGCTTACAGAGAAAAAGGAACAGGGCCAGTTTGGGTTTGGGGTCCAGCTCATTGCTAACACCAGGGTGGGTTATGGAAGTCAGGAATCATCTAGAAAAACAGGCAGGGATGTCAAAGGAGGTCAGAAGGGAAACGCCTTCGTGCTAAGGGTGACTTAGAGACAACAGGGTGGAAAAGTCGCATCCACAGGACCTGGTGACCAGCTGGGTGTGCTGCAGGTAGGGAGTGGGGGGGGTGCGGTGCCAGAGCCATTCAGGAGGAGGGACAGGTTGACCTGGGGAAGGACAGTGCACTGGGATTGTGTGTGGTGAGTGGGAGGCCCCTGCCGCTCGGCCAACAGAGGCGTCTGGGAGGCAGCTGCCTCTCCGGGTCTGGAGCTCAGGGCACAGGAGTGGGTGTGGGAGTGGGTTTGTGAAGCGGTGAGGGGGGGTGAGCAGGCTCAAGGGCAGAGGAACAATGGCATTTTAGGTGTGATGGAAGGAGGGCCCAGGTGTGCAGCCAGGGAGGTGGGGATGTGACCAGGACCCCGCAGCAGGAGAGGAGGAGAGAACGGCGGGAGAGGACGGCAGCTAAGAAGGAATAGGCCAGGAAAGGGTGTGTTGGGTTTGGCAGCTAGGAGTCTGTGGCCTGGGAAGAGCAGCTTCTGTGGACGGCAGGAGAGGGCCTGCGGACGGGCCAGCAACTTGGGCGGCGTGCGCCGAGGCTGGGGGCCTCTCTGGCTTCTTTGAATGATAGGGTCACATTTATCAACTGCTTACCGTGTGGACAGGTACTGTTTTAAGTGCCTTAGATGGGTCTTTTAATTTAATTCGTTCAACCATCCTTTGAGGCAGGTACTACTCCTATTTCCATTTTACAGATGAGAAAACTGAGGAGCAGGAAGTTTAAGTAACCGAGTTCACACAGGTAGCAGGAACAAGTTCCCAGGTGGAGTGGGCACGGTGATTATAAGAACTGTTATTTTTGCTGAAGGAAAGTAACTGGTAGAAAGGAAAAGGTCAAAAACATGTGAGGAGGAGGGAGGGCTGTTGATAGAGGAACACTTCCCCCCTCCCAACAGCCCCCCCCCCCCCCCACCGCCAGCCCTTGGAGGTGAGAAGCAGTGGGGTCTGGAGAGGGTGAAGGGGGAGTGAGAGGTGGGGAACGAGGGGTAGGGGCTTGTGAGGATGCTTGAGGGGGTGGAGGGAGCTGTCTGGGTGGCAGGAGACCAGGTCTTATGCTGAGAGAGAGGAGGGAGGTGGAGGGTGATGGGTTTGTGTCCTGCCTATCCTTCTCACTGCCAAGCCAAAAAGAAAAATCCAGTCCTGGTTTGGTCCTTCCAGTGATTCTAGTTCTGGTTTAGACTTATTCAGTGGGTAGACCTGCTACGTCTGGAAGCACCAGGAGAGGCCTTTAAGCGTCCTTTGGAATGTTGCTTTAAATTCTGTGATTGCTTCTAAGCTTGCTCAAGTATTTCTAAAAGTTAGGGTCATCAGAGTTCGGCAAAACAAAATAAAAACCCATCTTCCCGGGTCCCGTGTGTTACTGGGGCCTTGCATCAGGCCACCGAAGCACTGCGGGTGCTGCAGGTTTCTCCTTCTCCGAGGTTGTAAAAGCACCAAGTGTGTAGATCTGTCAGGAAAACCATGCCTTATTTTACTTTTATGGGCTCTTCCCAGGCAGTAATTTTGGCTGGAGGCGTTTAAATTATGTAAGGATGGAACTCACTTTTATAGACTGTGTAGAGATTTAGTTCTAGAATCCACCCAGGATCTTCATAAGGATCAACTGAGGATAGATATGCAGACTTTAATTCTTAATGCGAATTGCTGTTTTTTAAATTGAGGTAAAATTGGGATAATGTGATTTGCATTTTTAAAGGCAAACACCTTGGTGCTAATCTAAAAGGTTGCCTTTTTGGTGTGAAAATTTGGAAAGTAAAGAAATACTGAATTTTTTAGGAAATCACATGGACCCTTACCCCCCAAAGTAGCAGTTAGTTTCCATTTGCCTTTGTTTGGTTCTCCCTAAATTCTGTAGGTTTTGGTTCATTGAAACATTCGTTTGTGCATTCATTCATTCATTTATTCATTCATTCATTCATCTGTGTCATCTGTTGATATTGATCATGTACCGATTTGGGGGGCAGGGAAAAGTTTGACTAAGATAGTCTCTGACCATGAAGTCCCAACCCCAAGTTTCAATTGCTGGGTTTCTCTGGGGTCTGGGAAGATGGGACAGGGACTTTTTTCTCTGCGCAGTTCCTAGGATGGTGCCTGCAAGAGCCCTGATCTAGACACCAACTGGGATTTACTGAGTAGGTCTCCATGGTGGTCAATGAATGGATTAACGAAGGGCAATCCTGCGGGACCGCATAAGGAACCCAAGGTTTCCCCGGGGAGTAAAAATGACAACTGTTGCATCCAATTTAATGTTATTGCCCTCTGAAAAAGTTCAGGAATTATTATTCTCTGAAGGATACGTTTCTTTCTCAATATGTCACTTATTATTGTTCTTTTAATTCCTTCTAGCTGCTGGTTGGGATTTTGGCCTTCATAAGTGGAGTGCTATCGCTAATGCTTCCAGAAACCATGGGGATGCCTCTGGCAACGACTTGGGAGGAGGCTGCCAAACAGGATACAGAAAAAGAGAGTTCAGGCAAATTATTTCCCACAACCAAAAATACTGTGTTGGAAAAAATGGAAGTCATTGACTCCGAGGTTTCTGGTCTTGGTGAATAAATGTGCTGTGTTTACTTTAATGACTTCATATTAGAGGAATATTATTCTCATCTCCTGAATGTCATTTGTATGTCTTTAAAAAAAATTTTTTTTTTTTAAAGATTTTATTTGAGAGAGAGAGAATGAGAGAGAGCACATGAGAGTGGGGAGGGTCAGAGGGAGAAGCAGACTCCCCGCCAAGCAGGGAGCCCGATGCGGGACTCGATCCAGGGACTCCAAGATCATGACCTGAGCCGAAGGCAGTCGCTCAACCAACTGAGCCACCCAGGCGCCCTTAAAATTTTTTTTTGTAAGAAAATCTTAAAACAATTGTTTTGTAAAAGTAAAAGAAATAAAACCAAGATGAGAATTCTCATTTTTTTACACTGCTTTATTACTGCCATAAAAAATTTCTCCCTATGTGTTCTTAAATGTTATTGATTCTCAACCGTCCCCCTGCCTCCAGCCATGCAGGCCCGAGAGAGTATCACACCCTCCCATCAGGACCAGGGTCCCCCTGCCCCCTGGGGACTGGGAAGAGAGGGCATGGGAGCTTTCAACAAAGCCCCTTGAAGATTCTATTTCTGATATTCCTTCTCCTCTTATGAGAATCATAGCTCTAAATTCAAATTTTATTCAGAAATGCCCGGTCAGCGCACGTGGGTGGTGCAGTCGGTTAAGCGTCTGACTCTTGGTTTCAGCTCAGGTCGTGATCTCAGGGTCATAGGATCAAGCCCCACTTTGGGCTCCACGCTCAGTGGGGAGTCTGCTTGAGATTCTCTCTCTCTCTCATTTAAATAAATCTTTAAAAAATGCCCTGTCAAAAAATGTTTGTCTTCATAATTTAACCATAAAAATAATAGCTACAGAAAAAGGTCTCTTGCTTCCCTGCACCCTGAGGCAAAGAGGGCTTGAATGAGCATACAAATGTGTTTTGTGTCAGGTCTAGTTAAAGGGCACCTGTCTGCTCGGGGCCAGGCATGAGTTTTCTTTTTTTTTTTTTTTTATTCTTATGTTAATCCCCATACATTACATCATTAGTTTTAGATGAAGTGTTCCATGATTCATTGTTTGTGCATAACACCCAGTACTCCATGCAGAATGTGCCCTCCTCAATACCCACCACCAGGCTAACCCATCCTCACACCCCCCTCCCCTCTAGAAGCCTCAGTTTGTTTTTCAGAGTCTATCGTCTCTCATGGTTCGTCTACCCCTCTGATTTCCCCCGCTTCATTCTTCCCCTCCCGCTACCTTCTTCTTTTTTTTTTCTTAACATATATTGCATTATTTGTTTCAGAGGTACAGATCTGAGATTCAACAGTCTTGCACAATTCACAGCGCTTACCAGAGCACATACCCTCCCCAGTGTCTATCACCCAGTCACCCCATCCCTCCCACCCCACCCCCCACTCCAGCAACCCTCAGTTTCCTGCAATTAAGAATTCCTCATATCAGTGAGATCATATGATACATGTCTTTCTTTGTTTGACTTATTTCACTCAACATAATACCTTCCAGTTCCATCCACGTCGTTGCAAATGGCAAGATCTCATTCCTTTTGACGGCTGCATAATATTCCATTGTATATATATACCACATCTTCTTTATCCATTCATCTCAGGCATGAGTTTTCTATTCTGACATTCTTATCTTTCCTAAAGTTGCCAAATTCTCTCCCTAAGTCTCCTGCACAGTACAGAGAAGCTGTGGCATTTTAGTGCATTGCAAAACTTTTGTTTGCAGTTCATCCAGGAAACTGACTTTAAGTACCATTTGGATCTGTTACCAATGTAAAAAAAAAAAATAATAAGTATTTTTGCCTTGAAAAATCTTTTTTACAGGAAGATTTCACTCTTTTTTTAAGTACTAAATTTTGTTTCCCCAACTTCACCTAAAACCGTATTTTACACATACATTCACTTTAATATCCTGAATATTTCAACAGCAAAATTATGGCATTACCTTACCTGTTAGAGGAACACATTTCAGACAAGTGTGCCATAGGTTTGGGATTTTTCTTTCCTATGGTTTCATCATTATTTTTTTCTTTGCTCTTGAAATTTAGCTGTTGGATATGCCTATGTCTAATATATTAGAATTGGTGAAGTATTAGTGTCAGGAGCAGAGGCAAGTAAAAGGAGGATTAAGACAACTATATAGATACAATTGTTTAAAAAGCATTATTGGGCGCCTGGGTGGCTCAGTCGGTTAAGCGTCTGCCTTCGGCTCAGGTCATGATCCCAGGGTCCTGGGATTAAGCGCCCGCATCAGGCTCCCCACTCAGTGTGGAGCCTGCTTCTCCCTCTCCCTCTGCCCCTCCCTACTGTTTGTGCTCTCTCTCTGCTCTGTCTTGCTCTTATTTATTAAAAAATAAAATAAAAAATAAAAAGCATTACTAAGAGGAAAAAAGGGATTTGACTTGAATTATTTAGGCTTTTTATATTAATTCAGTTCCCTGAATAATTCCTCAGTTCTTCACTTGGCAAACAAAAAATAACCCCCCATACCTCTCTCCCTTTGTGAAAGAAAACAAATCAACAAGAGTATATGAGAGGGAGATATTTCTTTATCCTTCCTCTCACCTCTTACTGTGCCTCTTTTTCTTTTTTTCCTTTCTCTTCAGCCTGTTTTTCTACTGATATTTAGGTTTTTCCTCTCAGTTCATCTTTGATATTTTCTTGACTTTCTTTTTACAATCCGCACTAGTTTGCTCAGGCAGCCATCACAAGCTACCACGGCCTGGGGGGGCTTCCTCCTACCACCGAAAGATACTTCTCGCAGTTCTGGAGGCTCCAGGCTCCCAGCTCCAGGCTCAGGATGCCTGCAAGGTAGGTTTCATCCTGAGGCCTCTTTCTTGGCTTGCGGGCAGCCAGGGTCTCTCTGTGTGCTCACTTGGCCTCCTCCGTGCACCTATGCTGGGAGGAGAGAGAGAGAGTGAGCTCTCGGTGCCTCGGAAGGGTACTAACCCCATCACGAGAACCCCGCTCTTTCCGCCTCGTCGGACCCTACAAACGTTCAGTCTGTAGCACCCATGTACGTGTTTCTGTATTAGTAAGAGTCCGGTCAGCAAAACAGAAACCCTCCGAGCTATTTCCAGCATAGAAGAATTTAATATCCGGAATTAGTTACAACAGTGTGGGGAAGACTGGTGGAACAAAATGGAGAAGGAGAAGTTAGCTAGAGGCCAGGAAGCCATTGCCCGCGCTGGGCTGGGAGCCCCCAAGCCTCTATTCTCGGCTTCCACTGCGCGTGCAGAAATCAATTTCTGCTGCTGACCAGGAGCCCAGGAGCCCACACTCCCACCGATGCTACGGAAACTGCCCGGCACGGTTTCAACTTGAATCGAGTTGAATTTTTAGATTAATTTAGGGAAAATTTACCTTGTTCCTGGTAGGGACTCTTCCATCCATTATCGTGAGTTACGTCTTCGTTTACTCAGGTTATCTTTAATGTCTTTCAATGAAGTGCAATTCACAAATCATGCACATTTCTTGTTCTACTTATTTTGGGGTATATATATTTTTCACTAGCAGTGCTGAGTTTCTAATATATTTTCTACTGCTTATTGCTGGCATCAAGGGAGGTGATTGGTTTTTCTATGTTGTTGTTATATCCAACAATCTCGATTAAAAAAATGTTTTTAAATCAGTAGGGATTAAAAAAAAGCTGTATTGGGAAAAAAATTGGGCTTTTCATCATAACAATTACAAATATTAGTCATACAGGAGGCCAAACATACTTTGTTCCTCCAGCATTTCTCAATATGCACAGCCTTCTGATTTTATACCTGAAAAATAGTGATGTTAGATATCTTTAATAGTTGGAACCAAGTCCTGGCACATCAGATCTGTCTCTAGTTGTAAATATTTCAAGGAGTACTTTACCGCAGCACCGGGAAGCTCAGAGAACAAGCCACACACAAGTAGGTGAACTTGAGGCAGGTGACCTTGTCACCAGATCTGTTCAACGGAGGTCTAGGCATCCACCTGACTTCAACAGGCAGTTATTGTGAGAGGTGGTAGAGGCTAGTGGGGGGAAGAACGCCCTCCCACTTAGGCAAATCAACCTCTCTTTATCTCAGCCTTCTCATGTAAAAATTCAGGATGAAAATAAGATGTCCCTCATGGGACTGTGAAGATGAGATACTATATCCACATGACTTATCCACCCTGATCCAGCTCTGATGCTGTTTCTCTTTGCTCCGTACCGTAGATGATTCCACCGCTCGGGCAGGGAGTGTGGCAGGTGTCCTGCCCTGTCTTGGTCTTGGCCAGTAGGCGTTGGAGGTCCATTCCCTCAATACTACAGCATGCTGTCACTGTCCTGGGTTGATTGTGCCCTCCAACACGTGTTGTTTCTCTCTTGAGGACTCTGCAATTCAGATTGTTCTGGCGACTGATTTTGGCTCACAATAGCTGTAGCGAATGCCTCCTATGAAGCCAAAAGAGCATGAACTTCAGGTTCGCTTCCCTCCCTCACACAGGCTCTTGTGAGAGACCTCCATAATGGGTTCATCTGGTCAGACGTTTTGTAAAATTTTGTAAATTTTGCAAAAGTAAGATAAATTCACTGTGATCAGTAAAGACCACTGTCTCTTTCCGCTCTGTTTTCCTTCTGTCACGTTTCCCCTCTGTCAGATGATATCAAAGTGACCAGAGGCATTTTTTTCTCTAATGATTTTGTAAATTTTTTTCTTATAGAGGACTCTGAAAACTGTATAAACTTCAAAAAAAAAAAAAAAAAAAACACCCAAAAAACTGTATAAACTTTAGGCCCCACAAAAGCTGAGTCTGCCCCTCCTCCTATCACTGTGTTGTTAGGGAAGTTCATATTGAAAATATACTCTGAATGTATTCTGTGGCCTTTCTCTCATGCTTATCAAATACTTACTGAAAGCATGCTAAACACAAAGGGTTTATTCTATAAAATGACATATCCAAAGGGGGTACTTCATAAATTCCTGTAGGTGGTGAAGAGGAATATTTTCTTATTCAAGATTATTTAAGCTGACCATGGACGCCAGAGTCCATGGTAACTTGCCCCAACAGAGATGAATTATCTGAATTTGCCAGAAGTCAGTAACAGCTGCTTGTTTTATCTCTAAAGTCCACATTGCACCAGTATTTACTGACAACTGCTAGTTCCCTAAGTAAATTCATCTTCCTCATCCATTCCCTGCTTATCCCTAGGCTTACCTACTCCATCAGGAGATTTTCATGGATGTTCCAGTAAGTGAATCTTGAAAGTCAAATTATTTTACAGAGAGAAAGGGTTCAGTTATAGATTCTGCCCTACCCCCATGTCTCGAGTCAGGGCTGGCCAATGTATCAGAGAATCAAGTCACCCTGAGCTCAGTCCTTCCCTGTTTCCTTACCCCAACCTGTAGCCTACATGGCTGAATCCCTGGCCCCATGAGCCTTGCTTCCTTAATATCCTTCTAAAACATTCAAGTTCTGTTGGTTTGAGGCTCTTTATTTACTGGCGGACTAACACACCAGCAAGGCTAACACATCACAAGCCATTGACGCCCATGGAGAGCAGAGCAGGAGGGGCTGGGGGACCATGCTCCAATACACAGCACAAGGGAGGCCCTGTGGACCTCTAGAGCCTGCGATAAAAAGTCTCTGAAAAATTACTGGGGAGGAGTGTGATGCTGAGCTCACCTGCAATCTCGGTGTGTGGGGGGGTCCCTTCAACTTTTTGGACCTCAGCCACTTGCCTATAAAATGATAAAACAAGACCCCACTGGATGGCCCCTGACCTCCCTTTTACTCCCACCCTCAATAACACCTAATTCAGTTTTCCAAATGACCCCTCTTTCAGGCGATATGGTTATAGTTCTGTGGAGCAAAAAATAAAAGACCTATTAGCTGTTTATACACACAGCTTGTGTTCTTGGTTTCATTTCTAAATGTTTCCTCTTCTTGCTTTCAGAGGAAAGTAGAGTCCTACCCTGGGCAGGGATTAAGGAGCATTCTCAGGTATCCTCCATGGCTCCCATTGCTTTTTCAAATGGTGTCTTCCATCTTGGTCAGCTGTCACACTCTGCTCTCACGCATACCTCCCCATGGAGACACATGCTGTTTCCTCAGCTCTCTTGAAACTTCCTGCCTCTGTGACTTTGCTCACCTTCTCCTCCCTCTTGATAATTCTCTCCCTCCTCTTTTTTGTCCATCCACATCCCACTGATTCTTTGAGACCTTCCTCATTTCCCATCCTTTCTCCTGGACTGGCCACGTGGGTCCACCATGCTTCCC